CGGAGTATCTGGGGAGCTGGAAGATGAGAACTGGCGACTTTGTAGTACAACTTTAGTACGCGGAGCAATCTGTGGAGCTGGAAGCTGAGAACTGGCGACTTTGCAGTACAACTTTAGTACGCGGATGAGTCATCTCTCGCGGCTGAGTCATCTCTCGCAGCTGCTCTGGCGCCCCTGCAGCTGAGTCATGTCTCCCAACCACCCGGCTCTCTTGAGAGGTTGACACACACAAACAGAGACCCACGCACTGCCTCAACTTACTCGGAGACACACACAGACAGAGACTCATACACACACAGACATAGATACGCACACACAGAGACCCACACACTGCCTCACTTCACACTGCCATTGTCCAGATGGAAAGCCAGCACGCTGGCTACCATCATAGTTGAAGTGGGTAAGCCAGCACGCTGGCTGCCATTGTCCAGATGGCAAAGCCAGCACGCTGGCTGCCATCATAGTTGAAGTGGGTAAAGTGGGTATGAGCCAGCACGCTGGCTACCATCATAGTTGAAGTGTGTCAGCCAGCACGCTGGCTGCCATTGTTGAGATGGCAAAGCCAGCACGCTGGCTACCATCATAGTTGAAGTGGGCAAGCCAGCCTGGCTGCCATTGTCCAGATGGCAAAGCCAGCACGATGGCTGCCATCATAGTTGAAGTGGGTATGAGCCAGCACGCTGGCTGCCATCGTAGTGGAGTGGGAAAGCCAGTGAGCTGGTTCCCAGAATCTAGATGGCAAAGCCAGCACGCTGGCTGCCATATTATCCTTATATAGATGTATATATATGCTCTTTGGAGCAAAAGCTCTTTGCATCTTGGCTAAGGCGTCCTGCCGAAGAAACGTAACAAGGGCACGACTACTAGTAATAAGAACGCTACTAGGGGCCCCTGGCCGTACGACTAGGAACAAGACGCTATTAGGGGCTCCTGGCATCGCTACTAGGAGCAAAGACGCTACTAGGGCCATCGCTATTAGGGTTCGCCAGCTATAGATGTATATATGTATGTACAGATAGGTGGCAAAGCCAGCATAAAGCAGATGTTTATGAAATCCTTTCGCAGGTCTTTGTTTCTCACTGTAGATCTTAGGCACGTTTCGTTTCGTGTTCGTTGTGTGTTTTGAGGTTAGAGCATCGAGTCCCTGGCGCGATGCGCGCGGTGGCTCAAGCAGAGAGACCGCAGCAATTTCCAAGTGAGTTCGCGTAAGTCTCCACAGACTGTAGCCGGGAACGTGCAGCAAGGCAAGAGCCGTGAAGAATGTACTTGCAAGACGTTTCGACACACCTCATAGGCTTCTCGTCAAGAGACGCGCGGACCATGGCCACTCTGCAGGACGCAGTTCTGCGAAACGCGGAGGCAGCGGGTCAGCAGGAGCAAGAGGCACAGCGCCTGCGAGACGGACACCGGGAGGGAGGCGCGGCATGGTTGCGGACCGAGTTGGAGGCGAAGAACCGCGCCGACTTGCGGCGGCTGTGCGCTTTGTTGGGACTACCACAGAAGCGCGACGGCGCAGCCCTTCTGAAGGAGCAGCTCCTGGAAGCCATAGTGGACAGCTTCTCATCGCAGGAGTGATGGAGTCAGGGGACGGGCGTAGTCTACAGTGTAACTTTGTGCAGGAGCTGTTTAATCCAGGGGACGGGCGTAGTGTTCGCTGCGGCCGTGCAACGCCGTTTGTACCCAGTGCGATGCCGATCACCTTATCTGTCGACCATGCCAGCGTCTTGGGCGGTCGTGGGAAGCGGCCCGCGCTGCAAATACCATGCCGCCCGATTGCATCGAACTCAGCGGCTACCACGACCAGACTGGCAGGTTTGTTCAGGTGGACCCCCCGCTCCGCATCCCACTGGCGGACGTGTCACCAGATGGCACCCTCGACGCCGCCCAGTTGGCCCAGATGGTCGCCGCCGTGTCTCCGGAGCGGACAACGCAGTGAGAGTCTCCCCGACGCAGGGTGTCACCTAGATGTTCACATGGTAACTGCATGTCTCATACCACGACTTCTTCCTTACAAATCCTGTGTGGACGTCGTTTTGCGGAAGCACGACAAGTATAGACATAGTGTCGGGGAGTCTCTGCCCTATACAAGGGCTAGTCGCGAGCTGAACGACCAGAGCATACGAAAACATGCGCAGTGCCTGCTATGTTTCACCTCGTGCTACTTTGTTGCATGTTTCTGTGGGAGAGGCGATTGGAAAATGAGCAGCATAGTGGTTCTCAACTACATCTAGAGCGAAGCACATGTCACCCTCAGAGCGCCTGTGCCAACAGACTGTGCGTTTTCCGTGACTGACCTTTCAGGGCTCACAGTGACATTGCAGAAGTCTCCATACAACTTGGGCCAACTACCACAATATCAACTCAACAGCAATGAAGAATATACTAGCAAGAAGTTTGAACGCGCCCCACAAGCTTTTGCAATATTCATTTCCCACATAAACCTTTACCAGGCAAACCGAGCCTTCTTATGGCTATGCATGCGCTATTTACTACTTTACAGCCCACTAGCTCGTAGGTCTCCCTCTTTACCCAGCCATCATGCCAGGGAACCTTGGCATTGTTGACGACCACTTCTTCAGCGTCAACCAGGATGACCAGAGACAGGTGTGCCTCTGTTGGTCCTATGGAAGCAGGACATACCATGACGACCAGCCAGAGCTCATCCATCAAAGATGGCCAAACCAGTCCATAGCAACCAGATGCTGGGTTGCCCATGGAGAAACCTGGCAGTTTTGGCGAGTGGTCCAGTGGTCCAGTGGATGGGAAGACTGGGTTAGGAACAACAGCCGCAACTTCACAGATGCCTACACCATCCAGATCTGCTTCGGGGGGACGCGCTAGACCCAACCAACTGTGTGTCTCATACCGTGACATCTTCCTGATATATTCTGTGTGGACGTCGTTCTGCGGAAGCACAACGCTATTCTTGCTGTGTACAAAGACTAGTCGCGAGCCGAACAACGAGAGTGCGCTAAAACATCTACAGTGCCTGCTGTGTGTCACTTCACGCTACTTTGTCGCGTTTTTCTCTGAGACAGTCAATTTCTCTGAGACAGTCAATTACTCAATGACAAGCATAGTGGTTGGTTATACTAAAATATCTACTCAACAGCAGTGACGAATATACTTGGAAGAAGGTTCACGCAACCCACAAGCTTTTGCAATCGCACATGAACCAGAGCCTTCTTATTCCTCTTTGCCCAGCCATCATGCCAGGGAACCTTGGCATTGTTGACGACCACTTCTTCAGCGTCAACCAGGATGACCAGAGGCAGATGATTCACACGTTCTTGTTCAGTCTGCAGTGCGGCATGTGGTGATGCAATTGTTGAGATGGCAAAGCCAGCACGCTGGCTAGCATCATAGTCGAAGTGGGTAAGCCAGCACGCTGGCTGCCATTGTCCAGATGGCAAAGCCAGCACG